GACCAAGGTTACTCCAGTCCATGCTGACCAGTTCAGGCCCGGATAAGTCGGGATGCCTCGCGGGTTTAGGGGTTTCGGGTTTAGGGGTTTAGGGTTTAGGGCTTTGGGTTTAGGGGTTTGGGGGTTTGGGGGCTTAGGGGTTTAGGGTTTAGGGGTTTAGGGGTTGGGGGGCTTAGGGGTTTAGGGGTTATAGGGTTTAGGGTTTAGGGTTTAGGGGTTAAGGGTTTAGGGGTTTCGGGCTAAGGGTTTATATGATTTCGACTCATGAAGCCGCCTAAGAGCATCCGGATACTGGAAACTGAGAACATGGATGGAGTGTGACTCTTCGCGCACCTCCGGCACACGTACAAGAATCTCAAACAGCACGAACTACAGCACTGGAAGGTTGGCCCACTGAAATCGTAGCCCGAACCGGATGCACAAACACAAAGCTTTCATGTTGCTGTGCTATATTAATAACATACGGGTGTACCAAAAAACTTACCTACTCGAAGTGGTCTTCTTGGCAAGAACAATTTCATGTACGTGCATGGTTCAACGGGTTTGGTGCTACACTGGTCGCCCAAGCCCAGACCAAAACTCTAAACCTTCAGTGAAGCAGAGGTGCGCTCTCGCTGCTTCCCTCTTCTCGAAATTGATTCTCTTGGCCCTCCTGAAGGTATATAGGGATGTTTAGGGTTTGGGTGCCAGGCTATGCAAGGCAAATGGTTGAGTCTGCCACCCGCAGAAGGATAACGATTGCCTACTCGACTGCTACCGGCTAGCGCCTAGCGAGTAATAGAGGGGCCTTCATAATTGGAATATGGTTTTGTGATGTATTTAATACTAAACCCTAAACCCTAAACCTTAAACCCTAAACCCAAACATAATTCTGATAAGGCACACCCAAAAAATAATATAGGTAATCACTTCAGCCCCTATTAGTAGGCACGACAGTGCGACAGGGACTAGTGGTCCACTGTCTCCGGCCCCGGTCAAGTTCGTAAATCCGAAATCCATAAAGAAGGAGAGGGTTTAGGGTCTAGGGCTTAAGGGCTTAGGATTTAGAGTTTAAGGTTAAAGGGTTTTGGGTTCAGGGTTATGTGGCTCTGGCAATGCGTGCTTGGGACAAATGGTTTCAACAACAACCCCTAAAGTTGAGGGCCTAAGCCCTAATCTAAAGCTTTGCATGAACCCAAAAGAAACGTCCTGCGATTCTGTAAACTAAATGCAACCCTAAACTCGGCAAGGGATGCGGAGTAAAATGGTTTATGAAGATTTTTCAGCTTTTTCTTACAGCTTTTTCATAAGGGTTTGAATAAGGAGCCCTCAGGAACAGTAGCCAGACTTTCATGTTTGGGTTTCCGGACGGTATGCAGCTTCGTATGATACACACCCGCAAAATGAAGCACTTATGCAATAGTTCGTCGCTGATGTGCTTCCAGGGAAAAGAACCCTTATGCAAACCATGAAGGAACCCCTCATGGAAACCCATGCAATTCCGTAGAAAAGCATTTCGAGGAAACCTATCTAAGCCCCACCCTAAATTAACCCTAAACCCTAAACCCGCTAAACGCTACACCAGAGCCCAGCGGGCTCTCTTTGAGCAGGTCGTCTCGCCCGCGCTGCTATAGAGATCATTGTGCAGCGCCCAGATAATCAGCTCCTTCGTGTTGCTTACGGTCGTTTCTACAAGAGAGCGCATGCAGATACGAAGGAACATATATGAGAAGTCAAACTGGACAGAAACAAGCACGGTTACATGTCTACGCACGCATGTGTTTCGAAAATTTATGCATGTACATACATATGTCTGTACGTCTGTATGCATGTATGCATGTATGTATGTACATGTTCGAAGATATAGTCTCCGTGGGGTGGAATGGGGCTTCAGGGTTTAGGCTTCAAGGGCTTGATCGTAGGGTATCTGTAGGCTTCAACTTGTTAAAGCTTACGGTATCTGGGCTTTTCTTAACTTAACACTCCTCCTGCCTCTAAGGCCTCAGCAGAACCATCAACTCAAAACTCTAACTCCTTAAACTCTGGAACCCCTAACTGCAATCAA